GTTGAAGGGGCAAAAAAATAATTAAAGCTGCAAGCAGCGTTGGGCGGGACCTCGCACTCTACGCAACTCGGGGCGTAAACGGTATATGTTCAGGGGGGCAAAAAAGCAATCAAAGGCGCTAAAAATAATAAGAAGAAGAAACAAAGCAATTTCAATAGGGACCTCCAGCGGTCGCTGGCTCGGTCCCTAATAAGATGTTATTTATCGTATGGTTGAGCTCGGCTGAAACGAGTATCCAGTACAGATAGTTTTACAACACTGTTTGTTGTACCAGGCTGTAAACATGTTTATTTCTGCTGTAAAGTTGGGCTTTTTAATATGGGGCCTTATGGAGATTGACTCACTTCTGGAGCCAGCTTCAAGTGGTCGTTTGAGGAACTGCAGTTTTTACACATACCCGATTTATAAGCGCTATATAAACATCTAATAAATGATTCATAACAAGGTAAACTGCAGATGTGAGCATAGTATTTATCTGTGATATTGTATATGATTACAACAGCCTTTTTCTATTGTAATTCATTATCTGTTTATACAGCTGCCTTATTCTACTCTCATAATTATGGCTTATTATTTTCCAGTGATGTGACCTACTCATGTTGATGTATAATAGATTTTTTCTTTCCCACAGGAGCTCACTTATGGCGTAGCATGACTGCAAGGTAGGACACTGGTGTGGATGTTTGTTTGTGTGTGTGTGTGTGTGTGTCTGGTTTTGAGCAGCGATTACAGATTAGAGCTTTAGTTCTCAAAACATATTTGAGAGGCAGATCTGCGCTAAATGCTTAATGTTTAAAGATGGTGGGTGGGGCCAAAGCTGTAGTGTAGTTTAGCTTACCAGCTAAGTTAATTGGCAAAATAATTAAATAAAAATACAACTGTAAAGTAAAAGAATGTCAAAAAAATACTTAACTCACTGTAGTTTCTTTCATTTATTTAAGATATTCAAAGGGTAGGTTAGCTTCTAGCTATAGGATAGTGTAGGCTTGTGTTAAAATAAAACTAGACTTTATTTTTCATTTATTTTGCAGAAGACTTGGCTTTACAATATTTTACAGTTTTCATTAATACTAGAACCCGTCCAATAGCGGATTGTTGAGACCAATACCGACCAGCTGGAATGAAAATAGACCTTTTTGTGTGGATTGTGCACCAATTTTGAACCAACATGACTATACGAAGTGCTCACAATGCTGCTTTCTTAAGCAAATAACTATATTAAAGTTTATTTAAGTTAAATATTCTTTAACATGATAAATTATGTCAACCAGTTCTAGTTGACATTGCTGAGTAGAGACACTCCTTTGCATTGAAAAGAGCCAGCTGAGTAGGTTCCTGGGCGCCTTCCTTTGAAGGTTTTCTTGACACGTCCAAGGCTCAGAACTCGCTGGAGAGATTATATATCTCATCTGGTCTGGGAACACTCCCTGTGGAGTAACTGGAAGTCATTGCTTGGGAGGACGTCTGAAGTGCCCTTGTTGACTTGCTGCCACTGTGAACCTACCCGCGGATATGCAGACTATAATGGATGGATGGATGGATTGCTGAGAGCTGCTTCTGCTCTCTCACTCTGTGCTGCTTATTATAAATCACAGTGCACACCAGTGCCTTTGTAAGCTTCTTGTTTTTTTTACACTGGTGCCATGTTGTAGAACAGCCTTCCGTTACACATAAAGTCTTTAAAGTCTGGTTAGGACCTTTTTATGAAACAATTAAAATTGCAGAAATGTTATTTTAGTTATTAATACAGAAGTGTAGAGGAAGGAAATATATGAACACATCCAGGGCTCTTGTGGTAGAAATCTTCTCATAGACACTGTTAGATGACTGACAGGCTTGGATGGACATGCAACCTTCTTGGTCAGTCAGTCATGTACGAAAGATGAACAAATGTCTGTTTTTTTAAGGAAGAGTCAAAAGTATAAGTCATGTCATAAGTCAATTACAAATTCCAAGGTGCATTTCAGTAAGAAACATTCAATCACTGATTACAGACAGATTTTACACTCTGCAGTTTAAATCTGTTTACTTTCAGATTCTGGGTCAACTTGGGATCAATTCAACGGCTATGAAGCAGCGTTTTGTTTCGTATTACAACAACAAAGCATTCTCAATTTGCTACAGCTCTGAATGTTTAATACCTGCTGAGTCTTTCAGAGCCATTTTCCCTCTCGATGCAGATTTGCAGTGAAAGAAAAAAACAAACATGTCTGTCTTGTTTGTTACTCTATTAGCAAGTAAATCTGTGGCTCTGCACACTCATGGTTACTATGATCTATGAGATATTCTTGCCTTCAGATCCACTCGGACGATGTGAAATGACTTTTAAAGATTTGTCCCTCTTTTATTTGAATCATGCCTTTGGGATAAAGCGTACAGTTTCCTTGCACACAGAGTCTGCACTATAAAGTTCAAACTGAATGCACAGGTGTGTTGAATGTACATCCTTTCTGAGAGTACACTCATCCTGAATCGGCACTGGGCTGTTGAGAAGCTGCAGCCCTGCAGAGCTGATTGGTCACACATGACCGTCTAATCTAATCCTCCCTGGGACTGAACCATGTGAAACATTAAAACCAAAAGTTTCAAGTCACAGATCACACTCACCTTGTGATACACAAATGTTTACATGAAAGACTAGCCGAGTAGCTATGATGGAGTATTAGGGATGCTGCAGGGAAAAATATATTATTTGAGATATCGAGAATAAAGTTTTTTTTAATATTACAAGATTTGTTTTCTTGAAATCTCTCTGAAGAATTTACAAATGCAAAGCAAAAAAAATTGCATATTTTAGAAGAACAGTCAGTGTTTATTGCTGGATTTAGACACCATAAGAATTTATTTCTCTATCTAGGTGTGAACCTTCACATTTGAACTTGTACCACTTGGTGGAGCCTGAGCACATACAGTTCAGGTGACAATATGAAAGCTCACAAATCCTCCACACAACCTTAGACACCAGAGTGAGAACAACAGAGGATCAAAATGCTAAGGAAGAGTACGAGAAGTCATTTTGGTTGTGGTTTTTAATCTGCAGTTGATTTATGAAATTTTTAAAAAAGATTCACAACCTTAAAAAACCTCTTCATGGGCATTAAAGTTCAGCTCAACTCAAGGTCCACTTAGCTTTTCCTGGAGCTTTAGACTGTATCAAAGACTACGATAGCTTGTTCAACCCCAACAGTCTTGATTGTTTTACTTCTATAAAAATGATTTAAGTTTTTTAAGAATAAACTTTTGCCGTATTTGCTGATGATCACTATATCCAAGCATTTGCTAGAACCCACCTTGCCTGAGCGCAAACAGCCAATCAGACTGTTGAGTATCTTTCCCAGGTAATTTTGGGTTGGTTAAAACTTGGGGACCCAAACATTGTTGGAAAATGAATTGTTGATACCTATACCAGTGAACTATACATAGTTCTTGATTCAGTACTACGGTAAAAAAAAAGTGCCTGCTGATACCAAGTCCCGATCCAATACTTGTAATTTATTTCTGGTTTGTTACTTTGGTGCAGCCTTTGCCATCTGTTCATCTTTTTTAGCAGATTACATTAATAGATTACTTTTATTGGCTGTTTGTTGCACTTGCAGTGGTATAGTACTACCTAGGGTACTGTAGAAAAACGAGTACCTTCACGTTTTCAGTTTTTTAGCATCAACTTGGTACTGAAGTATCTGTTCTCATGACATCCCTAACTCGCTCACCAATAATTAGAAGCAAGTAAATTAATATATGCTAATTTTTTTCTTGGTGATACAGTCCATGTCGCTAATTTCTGACCCATGTGGTTGACTTAGTCTGGTTTGTGACCGAGGACGTGGCGGTGAGTCACATTAGTAGCCTGGTTCACACTCCTGCCCTCATTTTGAAAGTGGTTGTGTGTGTGTGCTACTCGATCCCGCTGCCAGTTCTGAAGGCTCGGTGGGATTCAGCAGAGGTGACTGGGATTTGTGGGCGCCAGGCTGGATGCAACACATCTGACTTATATAACTGATAGTTGGGTCCAGGTCAGGGGCAAGTCATGGAGTGCTGGGATATAAAGACCTGCAAACCTCACGAGCTGGGTTTCCATCTCACAATGATAACAATATGGAAAGACTGAATCCAATTGAGCTAAAAATGTGGCCTTCATGGGGGAAGACAAGCACACACAGTATGACCTCCCGGTAGATTCGGATGATGGGTTTTGCATGGATGAATTAAAGGAGAACTGGACACAGCATCCATTTATTCTTATGGAAGCTGGTCAGAGGTGCATAAGGCCAAAGAAGTCTGATTTCGTGGTATAAAATTACCTGGATCTTTTGCATATGCTTCCCCATTGTGGGGCCTATAGAGCAAGTGCGCTAGAGACTTCTGCCAGCCGAGCCGCTAACTTACTGTTTAGCCCTCAGCTGAAAGGATTTAATCTTCTAGACTTCCCCAATGTAATTAGACTGAACGGATCGAATTCTGATTAAATACAAGTAATTTGTTACACATAAATTAAAGTATCCTCCATTTTTTTGGTTAAATTTTTTTTCTTGCGCTGCAGAAACATTGTTTCATTCATTACAGGTTTCTTCTATCCTAATTAGATATATAACACTAAATATCTCTCTGTACCTCCTCCCTCTCCCTCTCTCTCTCTCTCTCTCTCTCTCTCTCTCTGTGACATTTGGCCAGCAGGGTGGGATTGTGTTGTTGTCACCTGCTGTTGTCTGTCAAAGGTGTCTTGTGGGTAAATTGCACATCAGCCTCAGAGCAAGTCTCAGGCAAAGGCTTGTGGGAGATTAGCTGTTGACCCAAAATGCGAGCTGACAGCTGGGATGTTTGAACCAACAACTTCCCCCCCTGTTGTGACTGTGTTTATGTGTGTGTGGTGAATGTAGTCTAACACTTATATACAATATATAGTTTAATTTACCATGCCAAACATCTGTCTTACCCACATGGGTTTACAAGACATCGCTATGTTACAAAACAGTAATACCAGTAATATAGAAAAAGATTACCACATTATAAAGAACATCCATTTTCTTGAGATAACAAAATTCCAAACTGTACACTGAGAATAACTTCTACACATCTCAGTTTTGGCTGATATTGGCCTTTAGCAGACATATGGGTGTTGTATCAGTATCATATTGTATCAGCAAATATGTTGTCCGATATGCTCACATATGAAAAATGTTCGCGTATCAAATTAAGAAAGAAAACCTTGCTGTAATATATTGGTGTCACTGCAAAGTATATCCAGCAGAGTACGCTGTGATTTACACTACTGTAGCAAGCAGCACAGAGGATATGCACACCAAGTCCATATTTTTTGTAAGTGTCTTTTAAATGTCATCCGATTAAAATTGTTACACATAGAAACCTTGCCCACTGAGTCAGATGCACTCGTTGCAAAATTCACAATATGAGACTTCATCGCAGAATGAGGATGATTTTGGGGTCCTCTCACTTGAAAGCAGAAAAAGAAAAATTAAATATTGGGTCCAAGGTGTCAAGAACAAGGAGAGTTGTCTACTCCTGCTGTCCTTCTGTCTCGCTCCTTCTCTTCTTCTTGTTTCCTCCCTTGTTTCTCTCCATTGGAGGTTCGTCCGCAGGCTACCTGCTCGCCACTGCTCGCCACTGTCTACCTGCGTCTTGCATTTGCCACCACTGCTACAAG